CCAAACTGAAGTACATAGTCCTTACACTATGCACAAAATACCTCAGAGTGAGCCTTGTGGGTCTTCTTTATGAAGCATTGAATTCAGGCTGGAAATATTTTTTTTCCCGTGAATAGCAACCGTCAGCACGTAACAAATGGCAAAAAATGAGAATCTATAAAAGAATGCTCTAGTTGCTTATCGTGTAAGAGACGGTACTCCAAATCGTAATGGAAAAGTACTAGTTTATGGTAATAGGCGATTATGATCCATACGGCTTTCTGCAAAGTGTCATGAACGTAATCCGTTAATGTTGCATATCTAAGGAAATGTAATCATGTCAACATACTTGCATAAGTAATAGTTTTCGTGACTGGTTACTATAGGCGTGAAGTGACTTGTAGTAAATGACATGTTCATCAATTGATGATCGCTTGTACAATGATTAGCAAATCTTATGAAACAGCTTGAGAAGTTGGTTGCGAGTTTTACATTGTGATACTATGGCACATTTTTCAAAGTTCTGTTTTGATGACTGAAAAACACTAGTGTTGATCATAGCCCAAATAGTTGCTAGCATGATAATCACAAATAAAAACTCAAATGTGTGAACTTCGCTCTTTTGTACAGACAGATAAGAAGAAAGAAAAGTAATTATTTTTTACTTATCTAGCAAAGAATCATTTCTGCGGAAAGCAACCATCTAGTGAGTTTTTTTTGTGATGCTTCTATATAGCTGAGGGATTGACGTCGGTTTCACAGTAACGCAGTGAGTGTTTCTGTCTCGGCACGAAAAAGCATGATTTTGCCAAACTTCGAATCAATATGTAATGCTTGTCGAATGTGCTATCGGAACTGACGTAATAATGCTCATTTCGTTATCAACTGGGATTGTGTTGAAGAAGACTCGAGTAGAATGATTTTCAATAGTGGCAATGAAATGACATTTCTGCACAGCATATGTACCATGATTTGTGCGATTACTTCTGCTCAGAATGATGATGAGAATATAGACTCGATAACACGCACCCAACTTAATTGATTCAACTCATACAAATATCGTAACTTCACTGCTAAATGCGACTCTTTCATCTCTTTCGTATATTTTAATAGACAATAAGCTATTAAAATCGAATATTTCCTTTTCTATACACTATTCGGCTTGTTGGAAGGCTGTAAATTCATCTCCATATACTATTTCTGAAATAGACACAACATTTTATTTATCAAACGTAATAGTACCTTTATTGCGACAGGTAGTCTGTCTTGTCCAGACCATATCTATAAGCGACATTCACGTAAATTTAAATTCTACTGAAAACAGTTATCTCATAATCGCTCAATGATATTAATAATTATTTGGCCCCCAACCATTATGCATAGCATCTCTGATAAAAGGGAATTATGGCATCTCCCTGATTGTTCTTAACTTTTGCACGTATCAGGAGCTAATGATCCCTGTTGATGCTGAAGAAAATAGCTCTGACTGGAACTCAAAAATCGGAAACTGAAGGTCCACAAGGCACACTATGCCGTGCTTTCGTCTATATTTACAGGATTATATACTTCATATTGGTACGAAGGCAGATTTTTTTTAACCTCTTGTCTTTGTAATTTTGCAGTATCTAGTAACTACTAATAACCCTAGAAAAAATGGCTCCGAGTCTGAATCAAATAGCGGAGAACGAAGATCCACAATATTCACGTTGAGGTGCGCTTGTCTATATATTTTGGAAGTATATATTTCATTGACGAAGTAAAGGAAACGTTTATCCGATCAAGCTGAAATTTTCAGGGATGACTACTATCATTTAGTTGAACAATTGCTGAAAGTTTCACGTTAATCTGCCTTTACTTTCTAATTGGATCGAAATGTCTCTAAAACGTCCCCCGTCCTTTATGTACATTGTACCGATCATCTATTTAAATGTATAGCTACTTTGAATATTATTACGAATCGATTCTAAATTGTGTCTCATGGAAGTCGATTGCGCAGATTACATCATATTATTAATATACAGCACTAAACACCATACTTTATTCATTTGAATAAGATTCTTCAAATATCGAGTCTCAATTTGCACATCATGCCACGTAAGCAATTTTTTTCTAGCTATAATCTTAAATATTTCTGATCACATTTACAAAACTCTTCTATTTCGACAATTATTCGATGCATATGCGAATCACTTTAAATAAGCAAAATATTAGAAAGTAAGAGAAACCTTTTAAGAAGTTTGACTTTTCTTTCTTGGGAAAATTGTTTTTTTTTCAGAAGTTATCACAAATGCTCTTTATCATTCGTTCATTAATTTTGTCTTTGCCCAAAAGGTTTCATACAAGTTCACAACACACAGCAAAATCATATATTGTGCCTTCGTTTTTCTTTCCAAACTCGTTATGAATTGTCTATCACTTGTTTTACAATGCCCAAACACTGGTTAATGATAAGTTTTACATTCAGTTCTATGTTATAATGTAAACAATAGTTTATTCTGATTAGAATGGAAAACAGATAAAATGAAACTTAGTAAATAAGATTGTAAATATTATGAGAACAGACAAAAATTCGAAACAAAGAAAATTCAAAAAAGTGGAACAAAATTTATAATTGTTTTGAGAGGTATCGTACTTTTTTTTTGCAAATAAAAGCTTTTTCCTCTCACCAAATTCGAAAAGAATAGTTTTTAGTTCTACCGGGAAAAAATAGAACTTTCCAAGACTGGAGAAATGTCACACTGTCAACATCTCCTGATTAGGCTAGCCCTGTTTTTGAGAAACATCTAACTAAAATCAAAGACACCTAGGATTTCTAAATAGTTTCTTTCAATATTAGAATATTTTTCTTTCAAATATTACTGTAATTTCTGCTTCAAACGAGAAGATCCATTGTAAATAATTATAGAAATTTGTATTTTTGTTCTTTTTCTATAGTCACTAATATAATTCAATTTATATTTCTTATCAGCAGAGTAACTTTATTTGTCATAAATGCAATTATGCGTCAATAAAAAGTATAAAAGAATTATGAACAAACACTTAATTGTGCATTCGTTAATGCTCTGAACTACTTCTTCGAGAAACTCTAATTAAAACTAATCGATATTCGAACAAGACTATGTTACTCTTTCGACTTTTTACATTTCATTTCCTATTGAATATATATTTTGGACAAGGAATGAAAATATAATACTGATAAACTATTGGGAAAATTATTTATGCGCTATCAATACAACTATAGGTTAAGATTTAAAAGAATGTCCCATTAAATGCAACCCTTGAAGTCTTAGACTATCAACAAATCTAACAGGTCAATGTAATGGTAATATTTCTCACGTCAGATGAGTCTATCAATTTGCATTACATGAGAATCTTTTTGTTTTGAAAGTTTATTTAAATATTTAATATTAAAAAACAAAAGAAAACGAAGATACAGAAAATTGATTGCTTACTATTGTTCTTTCGCTTTGAAATAATCACCTAAATAATTAAACATAATTTATTTTATATTTAATTTTTAAATTTTCATTTTTTTACCTAGTTTCTCTATAGCTTCAATGGCAATAGCTGGATTCATTCGATCGTTAAATGTACCAAAAAGTACATAAACTTTTGTTTTAATTAAAATCAATCCTCTATTATTCTATACAAGACAGGTTACCAATAATTTATTTCAAACAACATTCAACAAGAAAAAAACTCTCTACTCACTTCTTTAGCATAGATCGATTCATTATCAGCTCGAATACATGTATAATAGACTTCATTAAAATAAAGACCTTTTTTGCGTAAAATTGTTGGTTGATTAAATGCATTTACAAGTGTATCAACATCTAGTTGTTCAAGCTATGGAACAAAAATAAAAATTCTTTGTTTTTGTTGTTTTCTAAATCTATATACACACTTTATAACCAACAGAAGTCGTCTTTATTTGACTAGTATCACGGATAAGTAAACCACATTTTTCAATATGACCTGAATCAATTAATGCTGTATGTAGTAAAACTTGAAGTTGATTCATGATTGATTAGTTGGCTCGTTATTATTACTACTATTCACATACCTTTCTTTCTCTTTCTTTCTTTCTTTTTCTTTTTAATAGTAATGGCAGCAGCCATAGTCATGGAAGTTGCGCTGACTTCAGCCTCCTTTTCTTTTTTTTTATAATTATTCTATTATAGAAATTGAGATATTTACGTAGGTAGTCCTTCGATACCACTAAATTTCAATCTTCTCCATTGAACATAGCAACCATCAAGGACAAAAAGAAAATAATTGTGTTATTAAGAATGTTCGTTCAATGAATAAAATGTCAAGTTTTTTTTCACACTTGAATCTTCTTGTTAATAATATAAAATGACAATGTCGTAGAGAGGAAAAAACAAAAAAGAAATAGTATATGTTGTTTTAAATATGTTTTGACAAGGACAAGACAGTTAATGAGACTATTAAAAATGTTTCTTGTGTGCATATTGAAAAATCCAGAGAAAAATACATCACACTGTTGATATATCATTGAAAATGTAAATTAAAAAAAAAGAATTCGGAGATCTATTACTCTCTTGAGTCATAAAACAAACTGTTTTAATGACGGAAACTAAATCCCAATCTTATGTCCAGAAAAATTTGGACAGAAGATAGAATTATAATTATGAAAAATAGGACGGGTTCAAGCAAACAATTTCGGTTACACCCATAACATGCACGAGCGTGGTACAAGCTATACACATCAACCATAAATCACGATATACAATGTAAGAAGAAATAAGTCGTTACATGAGTAGAAGTGCTAAGCAAACACGAAAATGTGTTGCTGAACGACAAAGAAAAAGAAAATCGAAAACGAAAATTTGTCTGTAAGTAAAATTCTAAACATAATTTCAAATAAGAAGATGACACGTCAAAGAAAAAAAAAACAATCTAAAGATAATGATAATAATAATAATAATAATATCAATATCAAGAAACCAAACGAGACAATAAATTAGTCCTATATTATTCTTGATATGACAATATAATATTTATTTCGAAGATTTTTTAACTCGACCACCTGTACGTTTTCGTCCAGTTGTACTTTTACCTTTCTGTTTACTACCAGCAGTCCGTTTAATGTATGCTTTACCTTCCTATTAAATATAGGCATTAAATTACAAAAAGAAAGAAAATAGTATTGAGAAAATATTTACACGTGCTGTATTAGCCATTGTACCAAGTCTTTTAATAGCTGGTTTACGTCCACTTGTTGGTTTAGTTACTTCTTGAAGAGTCTTTTGAGCTTTAACAGCTGCTTGTCGTCGTTTAGTTTCTGAACGTGTATCACCAAGAACTTCTGTACCAATTAATGTTTTAGCTTCCTTTCAAATTAATAGAATTAAATATAGATATTGATTTTTTTAATGATTTACTTTGACATACTTTTGCTGTACTTTTCATAGTACGTGCTTTTGATAGTGTTGGTTTAGCTTTAGTTTTACTGACAACACTTGAAGAAGTTGTTGCTGCATCAGCTGGACTCGATGCACTTGGTGTATCACTATCATCATTTGTATCTGATTTATCGCGTGCTTCAAGTAAGGCATTAACTCGATTTAATTTATCTTCACCCCATGCTTGTTTTAAAAATTCTTGACCAGCCTAAAATACAAAAAAAAAGGAAAAATAAAAATAGAAAAAAAAATCGTTTTTTTTCTTACAGCTGCAGTAGCCGCCATTGTTCCAGCTTTTTTTAATGATGCTTTTGTGGTTTTACTCTTTTTAGGAGCCATTGGTTTACTCTATTTGCGTTAATGTGTGCACGCGTGTATGCAAAGTGTAATAACAGTAGAACGAGAAAAATGAATGAATATATGTCGAGATATGTTTACCTAGAATAGAACATATCTATATATATATAGATAGAGATATAAATTTACAATATTAATCATTCAAAATTATGATTTTTTTTAAAAATATATTTAAATAGAAATGTGTACATCAATTCCATAAAAAGTTTGACATTAATATCTATCATTCAAGGTGAGATTTCATATATTTAGGCTTGTTCTGCGTAATATCTCGTTTTTTTTTTGCCTATACACATAAACGAGTGTATGTGGGCACCGATAAAGTCAATAGAAAAAGAAAGAAAGAAAGAAAAAGAACAAAAAAAAAATGTCAAAATGGTAGCCATCATCAAAATTCTTCTCTTGTTTAGTCCTCTATATTGTTGTTATATAAGACAATTAAATATGCATTAATTAAAAGAAAAGAAAAATTAATCGTTATCATAAATGTCTAAGTTGAAAAATATATAAATGTAAAATTAAATAATATTACTCATTCTTTTTTATTTAATAAATGTTTCGTGATAAAAAAACATTTACGCTTACTTTTCTTTCTTAAATTACTCTACAAAACTATATTGATAATACTTTACGTATAGTTTTCAAAAAGATAGAATACTTAGTTTAAACTGATTACATATTCAAATAATAATTCTTGTTGTATAGTTTTCCTGTTATTACCTCGTTAGATGAAACATGTCACGCAATAAAATCAACTTTAACAAATAATTGAAATTATGTTTTCAGTTCGCAGAATGTTCTATCTCAAATAAAATAGATCTAATAAATCAAAACAGTTGATTTTTTTTTCTATTCAAACAAGAAAAATTCTCAATTATCAATCGTAACATATAATTCTAAAATTGTTGTGAGTTGCTTTTTTTTGCTTGCAAATATGGACACACTTAATATTTTCAAGTGTAACATGCTTATCTAGAATTTAGATAACTATACAATATTTGTTTTTGAAAGATTTCATCGTATATCGACAGTTTAATATAAAGAAAGAAACGAAACAAACCATTGAAAAACTGCTATATTGAATTCAACTTCGTATAATTATCAAGATGACTCACCTAAATTTTTACAGTGGAAGATTTGAGACTGTGTTAAAAGTCGAAAGTATATATTGACTATTCTGTATAATATTCTACTAGGGTTATGGGGTTGTAAATTATGTAAGAGCTCACGATAAGTAAAAGAACAGAAAGAAAGTCGACAAAACGGGAAAAGAATGAAAGAGATATAGAGAACGTGCATTTTCATCGTTCTGTTGGTACATCACAAGCAACACATTATTTTTATACTAATATTTTCGACGGTTAAATCAAAATGACTGATGATGTTCAAGATACTACTACTACGGCTTCGAATGTTCCATCAATAAAACTTTATTGGTTGAATGAAAGTCGAGCTGATCGAATATTATTTTTACTTGAAGAATTAGAATTACCCTATGCAATTGAAAAAGTTGAACGTGGTCCTGATAAACTTGCACCACCTGAATTAAAAAAGATTCATCCATTAGGAAAAAGTCCTGTAATTAAAGATGGGGATAAAGTTGTTGCTGAATCCGGTTTTATTATTGATTATCTTATTGATAAATATGGTAAAGATAAAAATTTAAAACCAACAAATAGCGAAGATTTATTTCATTATAATTATGTATGTTAGACTTTTTTTTGTTGTTTTTCTATTGATAAGAATATTGAAAAATTGATATTTTTCAGTTTCTACATTACATCGAAGGTAGTTTAATGTCTATCCTAGTTATGAAATATGTCTTTCTTAATTTACAAAAACAAGCACCATGGATAGTTAAACCTGTTGTAAATGCTATTTGCAACAAAATTGATGCTTTGTATTTAAGACCAAATATGAAAACTCATTTGGATTTTCTGGAAGGTGAATTAGGGCAAAGAAAATGGTTAGCAGGTGAACAATTTTCTGGCGCTGATATTCAAGTAATTGAATTAACTTTTGAAAATTATCATATCTATTATTTATTTATTTATTATTATATATAGGCAGGTTTTGCATTGGAAATGCTTATGAAACTATCCAATGCTAATGAAGAAAGTGCAACAAACATATCTCGATATTTAAAAGCAATCCATGAACGACCAGCTTACAAACGAGCAATGGAAAAAGTTGGCAAAAATAACAACTAGTCGACAAAAATATTCATAAAAACCAAAACAAATAAATCCAATGTCTAATTAAATTTAAACTATTGCATACGATGAGAATAACTGTGCAATTCAGATTCTAGAACAAAAGAAAATATTTAAAAACAAGCATTTTGAATAAACTTTATTGTAGTTTAAAATTTTTCTATTTTGTAAAACGCTCAATTCATACACATATTAAATAAAATGCTATTTATATATACTTTCCCTTGTCATTCATCTGTTTATTAGTGACATCTATATACATTCTTTTATTTCCATTCCAGCTATTTGCCCTGTTTTGCATAAATAATAATATTTTATTTTCTATTTATTGTTCGTCTGTCAATCGTATCTTTATAACAATAAATAAAAAGAAAGCTCATCTATAATCAATGGATATAAATCATTGAAACTATTTGTATTTTTTTTTCTCAGCTGATTGTATATTGTGTCATAAAATTATAATGTCTCAAAGACACTCAACAAGTGAAAAATTAAAAAATAAAAATTCTTCATCTCCAACCAATCCTAATGATGAGCAACGTTATTGTATATGTCAAAAACGTGAAGATGAATTAAATGATGACGATAATAATGATTTTATGATTGAATGCGATGGTTGTAATGGTTGGTTTCATGGTAAATGTGTAGATTTAGCTGATCGAATTGCTGGTAAAGATTTCTTTTTTTTTGGCTTTTATTCAAAAATATTTACTTGTAACATATTTTCAAAACAGATGATATTGAAAAATATTTTTGTAATGAATGTTCAAAACAACACGGACCTTCAATTTGTAAGAAGCAGAAAATTATGAAAAAAGAAAATCATTGTTTCAAATATTTTTTTTTTAGTTAAACAACGAAGAAATCAACATCGAAGAGATTACAGTGATACAAATGCTGATAATAAAGTAAATTAAAAATCTACATAAAAATTAAATTCATTTATCCTTCTATAGCCAACACAAAGTGGTACACAAGATTTTATTAATAAATTAAAACGAAAAATATTTCCAAAGTAGAAAAAAATAATTTTCCATTTGAATATGAATATAATCTTTTTTTTTTATACATTTTAAGTTGTGACCCTGTTATAACTCGTTTAAAGGGTAATCAAGTAACTGCTGAATATATAGCACAAAATGGTTTTACAAAACCAATATTAGTTACAAATCGAGATGGTCTTGATATGACATTACCAAATCGAACAATAACATTAGCAGAAATAAATGAACTTGTTGGTATGAAAAATTAGTTTCAGTTTTATTTTTCTATGAAATAGAAATTTTTGCTTATTATTTAGGACATGATCGTTTTATTGATATAATTGATTGTGAAAAACAAGCGACTTATAAAATGAGTTTAGATGATTATATTGAATATTTTGAAAATTTTGAAAGAAATAAAATTTACAATGTTCTCAGTTTGGAAATATCAAATACTAAGTATGTATAACATTTGAGAGAATTTTATTAATCATTGAAAATCAAGTTGAATTATTTTATTCTTTGAGTTTTATTCGAATAGATAAAATATAAATTAATCAGAATATGAAATAGAGATCGTCAGGTCATGTTCTAAAAATAACAGCTGATGATGATAAAATCATTACCAAGATTGTCTGAGTAATGTGTAAGGTGTATTAGTTGTCAAATACAAATAGCCGATCGAAACTATGCCGCAAAATTGTGCTAAATCGATTAATATTTGCATTTAGAAGTTAACAGATATAAATAGTTCGTTGGAGTGGAACTAGTTTCAGCAGAAAAAAACAAAACTCATCTTAATAAAAAAAGTATTTAGATTAGACAATTTGATATCTGTTTTGCCTGAGGGAAATAATTGTTCCAATGAAACAGTTGATTGCAAATTCATTCGTTCATGAACAAGTATTTTTATCTAATTTTAATATCATGATAAGTAATAACAACAGTAAATCTCTTGATTCCTTAATGAAATTTTTGCTTATTTAATAAGATTTACAAATAACTATTTTGAGTATTTTTCGATTGTATCATAAATATCTCTTTTTCTAAGAGACAAAAATCAGTGATCAATCTGGTTTAATCATTATCCAATTTGAGTCATGTGACTGCAAGTTCACTTAACTGGGTCGCTGATAGTGAAAAAAACCAGTTAATCATCGAGTAAATTATCATAAAAATGTTTTTATCTTAATAACGCATCTTTTCATCTTTAATTATGACTTAACGACAAATTATTGAGGTGATTGAATATATCTAACATTTATTATTTTTATAAATGAAATTTATAAAAATTCATCTCAAAAATATATTCTTTTGTTTAATTAAGATTGGGTGAACAAGTTGTAACACCACAGATTGTTCGAGATTTATCATGGGCTACAATTGGTGTATGGCCAATTAAGAAACAAGAAAAACAAACTGAAGAAGAATTAGATTCAAATGAAAATCAAAAGAAAATAACATGGCCAATGCAGACAATAGCAACATCATTATCAAAAAAGAAACGTCGAACAGTTTCATCAACAGATACAGATCAAAGTGATGATGAACAATTTGAAGGCATTGATACAAATCATTTTGAAAATTTTGAACGTCCTGAAGTAGCAAAATATTGTTTGATAAGTCCACAATCATCATATACAGATTTCCATATAGATTTTGGTGGTTCAAGCGTTTGGTATTCTGTTGTCCGAGTAAGTTTTATTCAATTAATTATTCTTTTTTATAATATTAAGAAAATTTTGTTTGTTAAGGGTGAAAAAATATTTTATATAATTGAACCAACTGATGAAAATTTACAGAAATATGCTGATTGGTCAGGGTCACCAACTGAATCGGAAACATTTTTAGGTGATTGTGTAACTAATTGTTATAAAATGCATTTACGTGAAGAAAATACTATCTTTATACCACCTGGGTTTGTTTATTTTTTTTTCTGTTACATAAAGATTTTGTAGTATGAATTATTAAACACTTTTTCTAGATGGATTCATGCCGTATACACAGTGACTGATTCGCTTGTTTTTGGTGGTAATTTTCTTCAATCAATGGGTGTTGATATGCAGCTTCGGTAGGTTCATGTATAAACGATTAAGAAGACCTTCTCACTCTCTGAGGTTTCTCCGAAATGGCTCGATGAAAAATTATGAAATTTCTAAGGAAGATAAAGCTCGATAAGTAGAGTGAAATTCTATGTTTCATTATTTTGAGCTGCAGCCTTGGTTTATGACAATAAGGATCAAATCGAAATGCGTATTGTTTTTACTTTCAAAAACATCGTTCCTACGGCTCAGAAGCACCAAAACACCGGAAGCACAATCGAAAAATGTAATCTTTTTTTCAATAATACTGTTTTTTGTAAGGCTGCCGAATTTTGTAGGAACAACATTTAGAAGAAAAAAAAAAACATATACTTCAATTCGTCTAAAGTATTCAGAAAAATTTTAATGACATAAAGAAAGAGATGAAAAATTTAACTCATCTAACAAATATGAAAGAGTGTATTGGTTATTTTTGATGAATTTTTTTTGTAGTGTTAAAAGATGTCTATCAGCAAATCATTCGATTAATGATCAGACTACTTTATTGATTACACTTTTTTTCACCATGCACAAATTAACATGTTTAACTATCAAGATGAAAAACTATTTACTTTCAGTCTATTCTTCTCGTACAGTAAACTGATAATTCTGTGAATGTGCAAAACCTTGCTTAAGTCTTCTGCACCTTCAATATCACATTAGCAATATGTGTAAAAATAGACAGAAAAAACAATGTCTGCATATAAATTTTTGATTATTCGGTTGTAGATAATTTTATTAATGTTAATAACTCATACGTGAATAACATCAGAAACAATAGTAAAAAAGAGTGCAGTAACAGTCAGAATGTCTGTAATGTATTTAAGAATGGACAAGTGAACAATGGCGTGTAACTAAAAAATTCATGGTTACGCCATTGTACAACAGATGTTCACTGTTGAAGTTTATTTTTTTAAATTTTCTTATAACTAATGATAAACTATTGAATAGTTCCGTAAGATTTATTTTATTGATTGTTTTCGTTTTTGGTTGTCATTGATTACCAGACATCATTTTTTTTCCGCAAGTGTTGACATCGAGTTCCTTTCCATTGTAGACATTTAATAAATGATCGAATGCTTCGATGACAGCTCTGAATACGTTGATCTACGCACAACACTATGATTTGTTCTTGAAATATGATAGTTTCGATTTGACTTGAACTGAAAGATATTCATAATGAAGAATTATTTTTCTATAGGTCATTATCACTAGAGATGAAGGTCTTTTATCGAATGATAGTAATAAAAGTTTTCGTATTAGAATACAACATTCTTTGGTTTATTAATTTCTTAAATCGTGTCATTTGTTTCTTTAACAGATATGAGATTATATTTAATATGGTTTTATTAAATGGTAGATCAAAAAAGTCAGTGCAAATAACATAATGCATATTGATAAAATATGCATGACCATGAATAGTCATTTCTATTCGATTGATGTAAGATAATATTGTATAATTGAAAATGACAAATTGAATCTTTTAAAAAAACCAATGACTACCTTGATTTGATTGACATTTGTCGATACGATCAAATTGATCTCCTTCTTCTAGGAGATTGAGTAAAATTTGTACGAGAGTTATTCACTAGCTAGATCAGAAAGTGACACATTGACGAATTAAAATTGTGAACATCTTACATGCAAGGCTTTATTCAAAACTAAAACTAATCTATTTTCACTAATATTTCGTTGAATTTCGAGTACACAGCAAAAACTAACATGATAGTAACGATCTACAAAACTTAAGTAAGATCTTATATATTTACTCACTAAAATATGCATTAACTGAATGTAAATCGTTCTTTTATATGGATACTTAAATTTTGAATATCATACAAATCTAATGTTTCGACATAGAACATATGCTGAAACTTAACTGATATTCAATATAGTCATAGTTTAAAATCAAAAGTTTTAAATTTTCCCCTATTCTACATTTATTTTAGTATTTATGAGCTTGAACGTCTTGCACAAGTTCCAAATAAATTTCAATTTCCACTTTTTGAAACATTTCATTGGTACGCAGCTAAAATATTTTATGAAGAACTTAAACGTAAATTTATTTATTTTTCTTTAATATTTGATTTTCTTAATAATGAAAAAAAAAAAAAAATCTTTTTTATAGAATGTAATGAATCTAATTCATTAATAATCAATCCAATAACTCAACAAGCTTGTGAATCAATTATTCATTATATGAGTAAATGGTTATCAGCTGATAAACGAGTAAGAATAAAACTATTATTAATAAAAAAAAAATATATATATATAAATATACATATGCGTGCTATCATTGCTTTAACTAAATGATAGATGAGTTGAAAATAAAGTAACTTCTAAAAAAATTCTAGTGTAAAATCAATAATAGTCATCATATTGTATCGTCAGTGTCGCATAAAACATTTGTACTGGTAATAATGATATAAATAAATTTTAATTGTTTGCATTGTTCTCTCTTTGTACACATATTATTGCTTATTAATTTAATAATGACAACTATTTTTATCTTGCTTTATTTTAGCTCTTTTTTTTCTGTTATTCTTATCTCAACTATCTTCTATAAAGAACAAAGAGATAGTTTGATTTTTCTGCTTTTGTTTATCAATCGATTAAAAATGTTTTATAAGAATTATTTTGAGTTTTTGGTTTTTTTTTTCTTAGTATCAAATTCGTAATCGTTCAATCATACCAAAAGGAATTAATTGTGAAAAAATTTTACGTGATCTTGCTCGTGAACTTGATCTAGTAAAAGTAATTTATTATGGAATATACTCAATACATCAGAATAAATGTTTCTCTAAGTATTCTTTCACTATCAGGTTTTCATCCCCATGCCTTAATCCTTTTTCTTTAAAAGATTCACAATTCAATTTTCTATAAGAATGTATTACAAATTTCGCAACAAAATGTTAAGGAAATACAGTTTTATCTTGCAAATCGAATAGTAAAATTTTTGTATCAATACTTACCATGTTCAGGAATTATTTTCTTTTCCAAATTGTATTAAAAAAAAAGCAGCGATTCTGAATAAATGATTTACGAAAAAAAGAGATGGAGATTACATCAAATTGAAATATTAGAATTCGAATAGAGACTCTTTTTTCTAGAGTGCATTGCACAAAACAAACAGAGTTTAACGTGTGTTTTAGCTTAGTTTTAATAAAGTAATTTTTGTGATAAAAAATAAAACTTTGTTGAAACGAACTTCAGTGTATCTCATAAAAAAGAACGCACTTCATTATACTTCTTATCGTACTCTATCAGGTCATTTTACTTGTGCAAAGCTAAAAAAAACTACTTAGCTATTCTAAGAAAACGATTTTTTGAAAATTGGGCATGCTAGAGTTTTGCTTAGCATTTTGCAGTGAAACTTGTGATGCATTCTTATAGAAAATGATTAAGACATGGCAATATCGAGAAAATACTTTGAGAAACATTTATTCTGGCACATCTATTATCAATACAAAAAATAATCTTTGCCTACTATTAGACACGTTGTGGATCATCATGTATTTCTAAACCACCGTCAAATAGCATCATTGCAAGTCCAGTTAAAGTTGTACTTCCAATGGAAGCGAAACAAGAATTGATTCATATTAATAATACTAAAGTTTGTTATGATTATATCTATATATTTTATTTATTTATTTATTTAAACAGATTAAAGTTAAATGTCGTCGTTTATCATCTGAAGCTGAAAACATAAAAAATAAAGAATCATCAGTTGGTGCTGGTATGAAATTAACTATTAAAACAACATTAAGTGGTTGTAGAAAACCAAGCAGTAATAGAGAACTAACACCAAATATAAATAAGAAAAAAACTGGACGAACAATATCATCTGTTAAACAACAAAAAAAGTAATCAGGAAGAATTATGAACGAAAATTTTTCATAAAACAAAATTATTTTGTAGTTCAAATACGAATGATATTCCAGTAAAACAGGAAGAATCACCTAAAATTACTTATACACTTGGTAAAAATTTCAAACAAGGCTTTATGAATAAATATAACTTTGATTTAATGTCTTATTTAGATCTCGAAGCTAAACGACAACGTTTTATTGAACCTGCTAATATTCAGTAAGTTGATTTCATTTCGATTATCATTAGAAAATTTTACAACTTCGCTTACTATCTGGAATAGAATTAGGAAGGTGCTAATGTATGACACACCATTTTGAATTGAATATATGTTATTTTTTACGGTTCAATAAGACGAGAAGAAGCCTAAAATGGTTCGTCGCCATACCTTGTCGTTTTCGAGTTATGATCATTTTACCGGATTTTTTGGTTTCAGCTCAAATGAATCGTTAACTTGTGAGCGACATCGTATGATGGTGAACTATTTTAGGCTTTGTTCAAGTCTCATCCAACAATGAACTATTAACCAATCTAAATAATCTGTTGTTTTAACAATTATAAAATTAAAAGATTTCTTCTTTCTATAGATCAAATCATGATGAATCTGATAAAGATACTAATATATCATTAAATGATACAAATATCTCATTAATTCCTCGTGAATCACATACAGATATTAATGAAAGTCATGACAATAATGAAACCTTAGAAGGTATAGCTGACGGTGGTCTTGCATCATTTGTGGAAAGTTCTGCAATCAATGATGATTATTGTAAGTTTAAAATTAATTTTAAGATAATATTAATTTTTATGAAAAATCAATCTCTTAATTTCAGATCATCCAAGTAAAGAAAGTAAAATAAAACGAGAACATAGCTGTTCGGATAAGAAAATTCCAATAAGTAAATTTAGAAAATTTTTTTTTTCTTATGTTATATAAATTTATTTTTTATAGAGAAACTCAAATCCAAATCATCAACAGAAACTGAAAAAATAAATGTAAGATATTAGTTTTTAATTTTCTTTATCATAATAACAATATTTATCTTTTATAGAAATTAACAAAAAAAATAAAAAATGAAGGTAAAATGTTTTTTTATTCTATTTGGTTTTATATACGTATATTATATTATTTAGATCCAACGTCATCTAATTCCAATCGAAAAAAACTCTTAACGACAGCAACAACAACAACAATACCAAAATCTTCATCATCAACGAATAATCCACATGGAATACTAACAAATAAAAAACGTTTATCATCTTCTACACCAAAAAAACTTAACCCAAAAGATCGTCTTGGAAAAATTCTTAAAATAGCAAATAGCATTAAATCACGTGGTGGAATTCTAACGTGACTTATTCATTTTCTTATTATGATCCCTCAGGAAGTTTTTTCTCCTATTTCTTTTTTTTTTTCTTGTGCTCAACATTTATATACGATATTTGTTGTGTATCATTATCGTGTGGCTATTTCTTTTCAACCTTCTAATTCTTAAATGTATCGAGTTTGTTTTTTTTTGCGTTTTTTTCTAAATCAAGCTATAATTTTTTGTCTTCTTAAATTCGATTCGAAGCATGAAATATTTCTATACAATAGATTAGTTTTTATGTATATAAATTTTGTTCTTCTTCTTTTATGATTATTCTGTATTATCGATTGTAACGATAGAAAGAAATAATAATAAAACAAAAAAATGATGTCATATATGACAATATTACACAATTATGACGTAATACATATTTATTTTGATTCTTTCATTTTCCATATTGATGATCATTTTCAACTTTTTTCATCGTATGATGGCTACAAATACTTCTATGACACGTAGTGTTATTGACATTGGAGCAAATCTTACACATAAATCATTTCAACAACATCTTCATCCAGTATTAGAACGAGCTGGTAAAGCTCAAGTTTCACATATTATTATAACAGGAACAAGTCTATCAGGTAGTCGTGAAGCAATTCATATTGCTTCAAAATATAATCAAGAACAACAAACTGTTAAACTTTATTCAACTATTGGTATTCATCCACATGAAGCTACACGTCATTCAAAATATAATTATCGTGAACAACTTGTAGATTTATTAAAATCAAATAAAAATATTGTTGCTGTAGGAGAATGTGGTCTTGATTTTGATCGTAATTTTTCATTACATGATGATCAACGACGTGTATTTGATACACAATTACAACTTGCTTGTGAATTTAATCTTCCATTATTTATGCATGAACGATTAGCTTCGACAGATATGTTATCTTTATTAGAAAAATATTCACAACATGAAAATTTTCATGGTGTTATTCATTGTTTTACAAATCCATCTCTAGATGTTCTTCGACAATATCTTTCTCTTAATCTTTATATTGGTATAACTGGTTGGGTATGTGATGAAAGACGTGGTAAAGATTTAGCAAAATTAATTCCAGATATTCCATTAGATCGTCTCTTAATTGAAACGGATGCGCCATTTCTATTACCACGTAATATGCCAAGACCTTGGCCAAATCATAATGAACCCAGTTATTTGCCTTTTGTTGTGAAGAAATTAGCCGAATGTTATTCGATTTCAATTGATGAAATTGCTAAACATACAACTGAAAATGCAAAAAAACTTTTTAATTTATAAATTAAACAAGGTAAATAAAAAGAAAAGTATGAATTTACAATAAGTCATACATTTTCTATGATAATCACAATGGAATAGTTTTTCATTAAGTAAATGTGTTTTATTTTTTATTCATCTTGCAAATTTGCTTTTTCCGGTCGAATTTTACATGAAAGAGAGAAATGCTGGTAATTTTTAAATAGATCAAATAATATTCTATTGCAAAGAAATAAAAACATGCTCAGCAAGTATATTTATTACTGTCGTGCCTCTGATTTATTATGATTACGCACATTTGTAATCCAAAAGTGTAAATAATATCGTACGAAAAAATCTTTCTCGCATACATTCAAACGAACTGTGTGTTAGAAATAATAGACATTTTTATAGTTTAAATTTGTGTTTATCATATGAAAAAAAGATCAACTCTTGAGTCTTTATTTTGTACTCAGAGTAAAGAAAATTAGATATCAAAAGAATATTTTGAGCAAAACTTTTATTCAAGTTATTATACAATGTTCTAACGAGTAGATATATCCCACAGATAGCTTACTAGCTGAAGTAAAGACAAGCAGTTGATTTTGATTTAGATGATATTTTTGTAATTCATATATGACTTTCAATATTTTTTTCTAATGATTTCCAATATAAGCGTGAGGATTTATGAGTTTAGTAATTTAGCATTAGTTGTGCGATTTTAATTTGAGTTTAAATTGATGTAAATCAGCTGATTTTCCGACTATGTAGTAATGAAACGCTCGAGACTAAGACTTGTCTTCGTTGTTTTTTTGATGACTTCTGCCAGAAATGATATTCTTTGGTAAAGAATATGGTTCAGACCAACTAGAATGGCAGTATAGGTTAGAAAATGAATTCGGTCAAGAAAAAAGCCAAATCGAATGTTAACTTAGATCAAATTAGTTAGGATCGAACTATCAATCATTCTGTTTTTATTAAGACTGTAAAAAAAATAAAATTAACTGAAAAGTGATCATGCGACGATCGAAAATGATAATACACAAGTTAAACATACACACATAGAAAAAAGCGTTAATAAAATAAAAATACTTTTTAGCATACACTTCAGATTAGGGAACTGCAAAGTGGTCCCGGTCCCGGTCAGTTTTTTATGCAATGTGTCGCCATTTATTTTATTTTTTTGAGAATACTAATGGCGACTCAGTATAAATAATCAATTCGATAATAAATCCATTACCTAGAGCAGCAGATTTAAAAGAAGAGAGAAATGAGGAAATGACTCCTACGAAGTAAATGAGAATTTTTAACAAAATTCAATGATTATTTTTATTTATTTGAGTTTTCAATGAAATTNGAATAGATGATTTTTTTTCATTAAAATCATTAAAAATTTCATCCAAATCAATATCATCAAAATTATCATCATTATTATTATTGATCATTTTTAGAAAAACAAAAACTAAAAAAAAAAAAAAACTAGAAATTCTCGTTGTCGAATAAAAATATTCGTATTTCATACATTGAAAACTATTGAACTAACATATAAATTAAATTCAATACTTCAAACAAACGTTACTTATAGAAGGATATGTATATACGATTTAAATACATATCGACAGCCTTTTTATTGGATAAGTAGAAGAAGTTTAAATCATATGTAACTATATTCTTGTTTCTTTTTTCTTATTTCATTCTTGTCGTCAAAATTCGACCTGGTCTATTATATTTTTTTTCTCTATCGATTCATTCACTACGGGATTATTCAAGGTTAAATTCTTTTATGACTAACCATCTATTATGTGATATCGTTTTTCGTTTGAAAAGTTTTATAAATTTATTATTTAAATAAATGATTCACTATTCTATTATATTAACAGATATTAGCATCGACTAAAAATCTATACTTGATTTTTAAGATATTTTTATATGATTAAATAAAACTTACATCTATGTCTTTAAACTCTTCGATACAATAGTCATTTATGTAGAGAATTTTATTTCCAAACGAAGCCTTCGAAGAAGATAGAATTCTATTTACATTAGCCAGAATGGTAGGGCAAATATACAATGAAATGTCTTTCTCTACGTTTTTTGACCGAAATATATCAATCGTACGAAATAACAAAAAAAAAAAGTTTGTTAGCATAGTCTTTTTTCGCTTCATTATACTAATAAAACATAAAGTATAAAATATTTTCTAACGACAATCGATTGTTAACAAATTCTGTCTTTTTTTCTATATTTCGAAAAGAAATTTTTCTTTTTTGACTGACAGTCTTTTTCTATTTGTCTTGCTACTTTTTGATTGATATTTACTTGGTTTTTTTTTTTTTTATTTCATTTTTATAATTTATTATTATTAGTCTAACCATTGATTTATTGGACAAATAAATCTGTTTTACACATTCGTTATATCTAAAGCAAATCTTTATGATTCATTATATATGTTGATGAACTCAGAAAAACTGATATTGCTTATTGTCAGAAGTTAAAACTTCATCAGTTCATCCTTTCATGTTGGTCAAATGACAGTTGCGGTAAATCAGAACATCATACTTGATATCTATCATATAATCGTTTATCTACACAAAAATCAGAAATTGCATTATGAAACTATTGAAAAACGTATTCCATCCATTGGAATTTCAAGAAATGTTCTAGAATTTTCTAAGCTTCGTTATTAATGTCGTTCATCGTCTTTAATCCGGTTTTGCTAAGATCTGTAATGAGAGTGTAGAGAGCCGCAAAGCTTCGACTTAAAACTTATACTCGCTATTTTCTGCGAATATATATGAGAGTTTCAGAAAACGACTGTTGTGTTTTGCGTAATGCCAAAAAAACCCTTTCATTTCGTGTTTGCTCTATCCTTCTGGGTTATTCAAACCGAATTCTATTTCTCAAATTCTATAGGATAAAAATCTTGGTTTTCTAGTTTTTTTAGAGACTATCCTTGTAAAACTAGCAATCATTTTTATCTTGAAAAATTCTTGTTTGAAATAAAATTCTCTACACAAATAACTATTTGGATTCTTATCAACGTGTATAGCAATGCAAAAATAATTTAAAATAAACTTGATATTGTATATATATTGTTCAATTAAATAAATAAAATCTCTTATTCTACATTAGAATGGAATATGCGAAAGAAAAACAATTTGTTTGTATTTAATTCAATCAAGTAACACTATTTGAATAGTTCGAAAATTTTTTTATATTACATTGATCAACTGACAAAAAAAGCAATCTATTTATTTATTTTTTTGATTTTGATATGCATAAATACAGTTGTTTCATAATTTTAATAAATGATAAAGAGAAACAAAACATTGAGAAAAAACAGAGAATTCATTAAATGCTAGAATACAAAGGGAAAATGATGAGACTATTCGGGAATATTTAATTAATATTGATACAAAAAAAAAAGAACAAAGTCAATTTTATTGTCACTCGAAAAATATCATCATAATAATTGGTATTGTAAGAAATAAAATAGATCTCATCGGTTTAATATTTATTCCATTTGATGTTTTTACTTTAATAATACCACAAGCAACTCGTGGACCAGCATTTCTATTTCAAAAATAAATAAAAAATCAATAAAAAGTATTTTAAAAAAATAATAGAAAATCATACCCAGTTATAAGACTGTCATTCATACCGTGACCACCATCATCAAACAAAAGATGTACAACAATAGTTCGATCAGCAATTGATTGTGTAGAATTATAAAATTGAATAATACTATCACTAATATTAATATTAGCTGTACCATTTGCATTTGTTGTTATATTTCCAAGATCACCAACATGTCGTTCCCATATGCCAGCCTCACGAGGACCATGACTCGTATCTAAATATTTTCATTTTTTTTTTTAAATTTTAATATAACACTTAAAATTTTTTTTACTGTAAGGATTAAAATGACCAGCAGCTGCTGTACAATTCGGTGAATTTTCTGCTACAGGATTGGTATGAACATGAAAACCCTATGAACAAAATCTTATAAAAAGTTTTTCTTCATTATAAATTTTATTAAACATACATGACTGCTGCTAGCATTTAATAAATTGAGTGTACCAGTAATTATTACGGGCGAATTAGCATCGTTTTGAATAAAATTCAATGTTCCAATTGGTGTTGATGTGCCATGTAATTGAAGATTAGCTGTAGCTTGTATACTACCTTGTCCTTGATGAATTAATAGAAATAAAAGACTAGCAAATAATATAAACATAATGATTATATTTGAAGTTTAAAATCTATTAAATAAAGAAAATATAATTGATGAAAATTATAAAAGAAAAAAATTTTTTTATATGAAAAACAAAAATATAAAGTTAACGTAATCTTACGAATGAATAAATAATAATATAAGATCAAAGAACATTGTGTTTCTTATTTATATGCTTTATCTTTTTCGTTCTCAGAATATTTTTTCTCAGGTCAAGATCTAAAAAAAAATGATCTTAAAAAATATTTTATTCGAACTCATTGAAAGACTATTACGTATAACATATATTTGATCTCTGATATATTTTATAAATGAACTTCGGAAATCATTAAATATATTTTTCTTCTACACATTTTTTTTGATATTTCCTATCTAGTCTCATATTTATCTTATCACATAGATAAATCTCAAAGCTATCATCCTTTTTTTTTTCGCTTGTCAAGTGTGTGCTTATAGATTTAAGCAGCTAGCAAACAAAAATATTCGTGACTATATATATATACACATAAGCATAGCGGAGAGAAATGACACAAAAAAAAAGAAAGTCGACAATTGATGACGACAATAATAACATGACCATAGATAAAAGTTAACGATAAAATTTAGTGGTAAACCATTACAAAAATACTCCGACGTGATGTATGACACAGTAGTAAGAATAGGGAAGTATCCAAAAGTATTTTAAGAAGAAAAATGAATAGAACGTGAAGGGTAACAGCTTTTTTTCTGTTTTTTATTGTTCTTTATATGTTATTCAAACTAATGATGCGAAACGTGAAGATGAAATAATTTTATTTACATGTGACTTCAAGTAGTGATGACAGGTACACGAAACAAGATATGTCAATAAATTCATGTAAACATTTTTATATAAAAACGAAGGTAATGAAAATATCATTTGTTTTTTCGATGACTGAAGGTATAAATACGCAAAATATGATGAAAAAAAAAAGAGAAAGCTGAATCATTTATTTCGTTCTGTATTTTGACAGGAAGAAAATGATATTGGCTTAACAAATGATTACGAAACGAAAATTTAGAGTCAATGGGTTTATATTACTTACTGCAATCATTATTTATTTTGTAAATTGATATTCTGTAAAATTTTTAAACATTCAATTCTCAGTTATATAAAATTGAAAGTAAACTAGACAAGAAATTTAACATCTATGTAAATCTTTTGTTCTTATTTGCTTGTTATTCTAAATGAATAAGATTGTAAAAGATGATTGTCTATTTTTTTTTATTTTGATTTTAAAGAGTTAAAGAAGTAAACGAGTTAAGAAAAGATTTACTTTTTTTAAATATTTATATGATTTTTCATGTTTGGATCAAATAACAAAATGGAAGATTTATCAAAATACAAGACAATCTAATCTTTCTATTTTCAATCTTATTCGGAAGCTATCAATCTTATGTCGGTTTTTCTTTTTAATTATTTCAATCTTAATCTTCTCTATTGAAAATTTCCATGCTAAACATAGGGCCATAAGCAGTACTATTCTAAGAAATGAAAATATTTCCGCTTCGATTCGCTCAAATGGACTGAATTTTTGATTACTGGTAGAAGCTGTTTTTTCATACGAATACACATAAATAGAAACTACTATCACGTTTATATTTTTCATCTCAACGAAGAAATTTTACCTTAGAGATGTCCTTTAAGTTCTGAGCTTCAACGAAAATTAGTTTATATGTAAGTAAAGAGTAATCCCTATCCAACTATTGATATATGAATTTTAAGTACTTAGGATGATGTTTTTAAATGACATTGTCTCTTTTAATAATACTGTTATAAAGACAAAAGACGTGACAATTAGGGTGTGCATATACAAAGTATAGCTACATCGACATTCTATATATTACGTATTGTTTTGTATAATTGTTTTATGTTACACACGATGATTCATAGTTCATTAAAACTTCTTAAAAAAATACTACCCGATTTCGAGATTTTAATTATCACACTTCTTCTGTTGATATCACTATTATACAAAAAAGCTAATATTTATTTAAAACATCATCCTAAGCAGACGAAGCTTATATGAATACACTTGGATAGAGATCACTGTTTATTTACATATAAACTAATTTTCGTTGGAGCTTTGAACTTATGAGATATTGTTTATTGTTAAGTAAGAAAAATACATATGAAGCGCTTCATAGATAGTTTTCTGTTGTCATCAAAGAAAACAATAAGAAAAAGTCTAAACGAACTATATTAATGTATACTGAGCAAATTTTCAAAAACTAGTAATAGTCAGTTTGAATGATGAAGTTCGTAATTCATAAATAAAACTCACTGTTTGCAGCCCGTTGGTATTAACTTCTTTGTAAAAATCAGTGTTCCATGTTTGAAAATTCAAAATTTCGTAATTGTTGGTTTTTAAACTAAGTAGTTCTAAAAATTTGTTCTAGGTGCATCGATATAATATCATTCACAAAATTTGTTGCGGTTTTTTCTTTTTATTTTCTTGAATAAGAACTGAAAATTATCTATGAAACGCTTCATAGGTATTTTTCTTACTTGAAAACAGATAAAATTGCTTTCATGACAACAATAATCATATTTAATAGTAGCATTTACTTACCTAATTCTTATGAAAAAAAAAAACAACTTTGAATAAACTTCTATCACGAATCAAAAGTCAGCTCATTTAATTGAACTGAAGTGAAGACATTTCATCTTTTCTTTTTATCGTAGTGCTATTTATGATCCATTTAAACAATAAAAATCAATCTATTTCAAATGATATAATAGTACAGTTTATATCAAATGATTGTTTAATGATATTGAATTTATTGATGATGGGAAATTTTATTGGCTTTTAATGTGCAATAGAAAAAAATTCATTTAAATAATTCAATGAATAGAAATTCAATATCCATATATATGATATTATTCAATATTTTAGTAATTATTATGACATGATCTTATGTCTAATCTTAAGTTTTTAATTTTTCTTTGCTATTAAATAGATATTTTGTGATCTCGTTGCAATAGTAGAGAGAAAAACTAACATTGAAATTCTCTATACATACTAAAAAAACATTTTAGAGTTGTTTTAATAACATTTGATGTTTTTATTGTGTTTGATAAATATCGCTATTGGTGTCTTGTTTAGTACATCAAGTATCAGAACGGTCAGATACTGTTTTCAACCTTCTCAAACAAACAGGAATTTCTGAAAACGTATTTAAACACTCTAATCACGTGTTTCCCGTTTAAGTGTTTTTGCGTTCATTCAGAAAATATAAACCTTAGCTACTTTTATCATGAAATGCACATGAAGATGCTTCAAAAAGACAACTTTTGTGTGTGCATAACATCTAAAACATTGTCTCATTATGTTTTTGGTATAAACCACGCATATGAAAAGTCATTTTTATTTGCAAAAAATGTCAAAATACTACGGAAAGAACATTTTCATGATTTCCAGATGCAAAAATTGCCTTTTTAAAGCGTATTCATTCATTGTTTATGATAGAAATATCTGGTTTTTATGTTTTTATGAATAGATGTAAAAACTCTCAGAATGAGAACTACGCGATTAGGATGTTTGAACGTATTTTCAAATATTCTTGTATATTCAATTTATAATGAATTTATTGTTGTCAAACCAACAAGTTTTAATAACGAATGTTCCAGAAAGAATGAGCCTCTCTCTATTTTAATGGTATCTCTTTTAATATCCATTTTTTCAGACTTTATTCTTTTTTAAGATTCGTCTTTTAATACTGTGCAAAACAGTATAACTCTTATTAATGTAAATGACATCCGTAATTATACAAGACACGCATCAAATAAACAGTTGAACACGAATAATTTTATAAAATAATTTTTTTTATCAAATTATTTTGATTGCATCATATAGTTTTAATATGACAGTTTCTTTTAACATAATTGATGAAGTCTACAAATTTGTCTCAACTTGAATATATCGATATATTTAAATCTGAACAATACGGTGATCAATGGTTCATGATAATGAAAAAGGGAAAGTTATCTCGGTATCATTGTTGTATGATTTAATGAATCTATAGTTTCACACTACCATCTGCTAAAATGTCTAATCTGATGTTGATGATCATTTTCGATCTAGTAACATTAAATTATGCTTCATGCCTTCAGAATATTCTTCCAGTACTACTACATACAACAGTAGTGACAAGACAACTTTCTCTTTTTCATCGTTAAAAGTTGTATTGTTCAAATTTCATATGATGCAGTGATGATAATTTGATAAAAAATTGTTCACATTCGCCTGCTTGTTTGATGCGTGTGTTGTAAAATTACGGATATCATTTATATTAATAAAAATTATACCGTTTTGTAGAGAATTAAAAGACGAATCTTTAAAAAGGTAAACGTAAAGTCTCAAAAAAATGGATATTAAAAGAGATACCATTAAAATACAGAGGTCCATTATACCAAGGACAAATGTTAGTACTTATGAATGAGAGTAAATAAACAAATGTAAAACATAATAAACAAGTATCAATGATATTTTTATTAAAAAATAAGCAAAAACACAAAATTTTGTTGAAACTTTTTTTTTCTCTTAAATTAATATCTTTTTCTTTATTATAAACTTTACTTTAGAATAACATACATGAAGCAACGAACCATACAGCAATCATTCATTTATGATAATGCCAAATACATACAACTTAATATAGTAACATTTATTACCTATATAAAAATATTTTATTTCTATTTTCAAAGTAGAAATTATCAGTTTATTTTTGCTATAAACTGAATACTGTGAATAATTTTTGATATTTATCTGTGAAATTCATTTTGATATAATTTATGAAAAGGTCTCCATTTTATCGTACTCTTTAGACAATAATGTCATTTTCAATTAAGAATGCAAGAAAAATTCTTTGTAAATCAACTAATGTACTTCATGACAAAAAGAAATGAAGAAAAGAGTCTTACGCAAATAAAAGGTTAAAGTCCTTACTTATTCAAATGATTATGTTTTGAAGAGGTTATCTAATTTGAAACGTTAAATTAATTAAAAAAAAAACCCTAGAATAAATTAATTTCTATTGCAAATACAAGTCTAAAATCTCATCAAATTAATCTTAATTTAATCAACTTACCAGAAGTCTCACGTATATCATCTTTACTGACATAATGAAATCACGCACGTCAACTAATCAATTAAATTATTCTACTTAGTGCGAAATAGTGTCATTATTACGAGAAAATATTGTAGTCTTCAGAAACGTTCGTGTCATAAAATCTATTTTAAGCAAATACAAAAGAATTTGCTATCTCTGTCCTACTTTATCAGTTAAAATAATAAACAATTCATCAACCAAATTTTTATTTTTACAATTTCATCACATAAAAAAGAATTTTCATTTTTATTCAATTTGATTATTAGAAAAAGAGAGAAATATTCTTCTAAAGAATACTTCTGAAAATATTATCGACACAGATTTGATATTTATATATAAAATTCACAAAAGGAAAATCATTTTTCATTTAAAGATGGTTTCATTCGCAGCATATTTGCATTAATTGTTCGATCACATTTAAAAATTTTTAAATCACATTTATAATGTTCAGGACAACAATGTATATGATCTGCACAGCAAACACCTTTTTCCAATGGACAACATGAATAATCACCATCAACTGCTATACAACAAGTACTAGTTGATGGACATACTGATATACCATCTGGACAAACAATAACAGCATTCGATGATGGATCGGTATTGATAGTGTTTGATAATATCATTAAAAATAATGAACAAAATAAGACGAAAGTAAATGCTTTCATTTTGCACGATATGATGAAATACAATGTAGACGGGTGTTGTTCTTTTTATATTTTTATTCAAAGATAAAAGAGATACGATAGCGTCTCTTACAGAAAAGAAAAGATCCACAAAGCCAAAAACAAAAAAAGAACGTCCGAATGTTTAACAAAACAAAAGAGAAATAGGTCAAAAGGGTAGATTTGAATTTACATAGACAAACTTTTTTTTTATAAACAAAAAAAGATTAATATATAGAAATATTCTTTTGTATCTGTTTATTCTTCTAAGAGCGACATCTTCGTCTTGGTCGTTTATTTGATTCCGATGATGGTGATGGAGATGATGATGTATTTTGTACCAGTAATCGTTTTGAAGAAACAACCGTCGGAAGAATCCACATTGGATTAATATAAAAATTTGATGGTGCCCATATACGTGTTGAACGACGTTGTGGTGTTGATAATGTTTGTATATGAGGTGAAATACTTGTTTGAATACGTAATGGTGATGATAGTCGAGTATTTATAGAACTATTTCCTCGCATATATTCTGTTGGACTTGAATGATGTGATGATGTACCTGATACAGTTGTTGTTGGTGATGGTGATGTATGTTCAATTGAAGATGATGAAGTTGATGTATTACTGTCATGCTCAGATGAAGACGATGAATCTTTTTTTTCTAATGATTCTTAAGAAAAAAAAAAATAATAATAAAAGCATTAATTTATGGAATTCCATTATAATAATCTCTTGGAATAGCTAATGATTTTATATATAGAAAGAGTAAAACCTCCCATATAGAAAACCTCTCTATAGTGAACACTGTCATATATTTCTATGATGAAGAAAAATCCATGAAAAGAGAAATAACAACGAACAGTAAATATGCATTTGATTCATTAATATTTTGCAAGTATCTAAAAAATGCATTTGTTCCTTGTAAAAAAACAACTTTGCTTTTAGAAAAGATCTAACCTCTTTATAATGAACACTTTTGAAAAGTCCAAATGATGTCCACTATAGAGAGGTTATACTGTATATTGAATCCAAATGTTTGATTGGTAAGTTTAATATGACTAATAGTTTGACAATGATCATATTGTTATTTTCAGTAATAACAATGACGGAATAATGTCTGTTGATTATTCTGTCATGACTGATGATGACAAGCAATAATTATTAACAAGCAACGTTCCAATACCAATATAGGTTTAATATTGATTGTTCGAACTCACCAAGGTATCTCCCCAAATATCCGACTTTCTCCTAGTTTTTTGCAGCTTCGTCGTGACTTTGAGCAGAAACCAGATTTTGAAATACCATTTGCCGTTCTCTGACAGAAAGAGAAATAGAAAATGAGCAGATAATATAGTTGCGAAGTGAATAGGACTGTAGAAAGGATGGTCTGGTGACAAGTTGTCTCTTATGGGAACGACCAAATCATAGTGAGTTTTTATTTTTTCTTCGTTCGATCATCACTGCAAGGAATACAAATATAACTTATAATAATCATAGATCAATGTAATACTTCAGTTGTAGAAACTTTTGTATCATATCTCAATTGTTAATCAATTAAACAGAATTTTAAATTTTAGGCTAAATCCAAAAAAAATGAATTCTAATTATTCGAAAATCGAGAATTTTTTTCATTAATAACAGTAAGTGTAATATTTTTTTAAACATTTAACATTCAATATACTTTTCTATAACACTTTAAAACAATTCATTTCATAGAACGATTCAATTAAGAATACTTTACTTGTTTTTTTTTTTACACATTCCTTCTTTCTCTATGTCAAAAAAAAAATGATATATAATACTTACTAGAAAAAAAAAAATTGAAGTAATCTAAATGATTCTTTTGTTTCAAATAAACTCGAGAATCTTCTTCGACATATATACTATATAATTAAAAAGTATCTCTTTTGTCTTTTTCTTACCTTGATCTTCTACACTGTTCACATGTTGATGACGACGTATACCATTTTGAGGAATTTTTTTCTTACATAACATATGTTGTCTTCTTGTTGTTATAGTTGATGTTGGTTGTTTTAATGATTTTGATTTATTTGATACTAAACTTGAGTTTTGTTCAATAGATTCTGATTTAATTGAAATATTTAATGGTATCGACAAATCATTCATTGATGATGATGATGATGATAATGATGAATTTATAGAAGATATAGTTGTTTCATGTTTTATTTTATGTATTGATTCATTTGAATGATTATCAATAGATAAATTGATTAATGGTGGAGATGTCAATGATTGCCATGATTGTCTTGATCGTGCATACATTTGAAGATTAGAACGTTGTTTACGATGTAATTGTTGATGATAATGTGGAGATGGTATTGATGATGATAGATTTTCAGGATTAATTTGCTGAGATTTATTTGTATATTCTTTATATAAATCTGTTTGTTTTAACCATGATGGTGGATTATCTATTAGAGAAGATATCAAATAATTAAATTAAATACAAAAATATATAAAAACCTTTAGAAACAACAAACGACATTAATTCATGTACACTAGATATAGTTGATAGATATGAATTATTATTTATTGATGAACGTTTTGGACGACGACGATGATTTGGTGAACTATTGATTAAGAAAAAACAAAATCTAATTTAGTTACAAGATTTTCTTTTATTTCGTACGTATTTCCATTGATTTTATTTGCTATTGGTGATGATTTATTAGTCTAAACAATAAAGAAATTATATAATATTATTTGATAAAATTAAAGAAAATATACTTCTAATTTATTGTCAATATCAACTTCAATTTTAACTGATGGAATATTATTCATTTTTTTCTTTGATATAACCTAGAAAGAAAAAAAAAGATTCGTTTAACATCTTGTTGTCTTATTTTTGTTCATAAGAGGAAATTTATTGAATTAACTTACGGAAAGATTTGAAGTTGATTTTGATTTACGTATCGATCGAGTGCCATGATCGAATTCGACTGATTCGGAGATTTTATTATGCATACGTTATTTCTCGATCTGCTAAAAGAAAAATACTATAGTCCTCTTATTACAAATAAAAAGCAATTCGTGACAAGCGTCAGTTCTTTTTTCTTTCCTCTTCTACTTATTATTCTGCATCGTGTTCATTCATCACTGAAGGAATGCGAACTGTCACCATTGTGCTTTTTTTTTCTCTTGTCGAGTTTTCCATCAACGTCTCTGTCATTTTTGTTGTGTGCTTTTTATTTGTACTCTATGCGTTTTTTCCTGCTTTTCCTCTACTAAATTTTCTATTAGATCGATGAATATTTTCACACAAATCGCTACACAATTTTTTATTAATAAAAATACACTTGTTCAATTATTAAAAACATTAAATTTTCCAAATGAATTCTTGGATGAATTTCGTAATGATCGGATTTACATTGATGAAGATTTAATAAGACGAAAAATACGTATATTGTGTGAAATAAATCAAGATGAATCTTTTCAAGATTTATTTTGTCACGAAGATGGTATACAATTTGTATTTCATATTAATTTTCATGACCATCGTTTTATACGTTTTCGTATTAGTTTTGATATTAAAATAATTGCACTTATATTAAATAATCATCATCAAACTATACAATTTATGGTAAATAATATTCAAATAAAATCTCTGAATCGTCTATCAAAAGCATTTCGATTTTGTGCCCAGGTAAAAGAAAGAAAAAAAAGAAATTTTCTTACTATATAGTTTCTCATAATTTATTTTAAACTATACTTGTCATAAAGCTTTCAAGACTATTTCCGTTTATAGCAAACACAAAACGTTTTCTTTCAAATATATTTTGAGTGACAAGCAAAATGAAAAAGAAAAATACAATTAGATTTTAGAAAAACATATTTTCATTAGCTTAGTCCATATCTTTCAGAATCTTCTATTAATCTTGCTATTTTTGTGACAACATCAAATAATGATTATTTCTATGACTTCACTATATTAACATAAGATAAGATTAATTCTAGTATTATTTTTTATTTCACTTAGCTATTATGGATTAGTATTTAACCAAATACAATATCTTCAATCTTTCTTCTTTGTAATTATATTAAATATTTTTAAAATTACAAAATAATTTTTAATAAAAAAAAGAATTTCATATTTCATGGTCTTTTTTTTTTTTTTTTTTTCTAGTCTAAAGTTCGAACATTGGTTATTGATGAACTTGAACGTATATGTACAGAACAACATATTCCATATGAACGATTATTTCGTGATATAAAACGTCCATTAATATATGAAATAAATTTATCTAATATAAAAGAATTTGATCAATTACGTGAACGATATCTAATTATTGGTAATCGATCAATTCTTGATCTTATACAAATAACATATGTTGAACATCGTGAACAATCTATTGTATTAGGTTATCGTTTAAATACAACATTAAATGAAGAATCAACTACACAATTCATTGATTGTTAATATAATAAAACTACAAAGATAACAACCAAGAATCTTACTTACTTATTATATGAATATTAAATGAATATTTGTTTTTGATTAATGTCAAGGGTAAAAAAAAAAAATTTTATTGTCGTTATTGAAAGAAAAGAATGAAACGATGGAACGTATATGAATGGTATAATTATTATAGCAAATAGCTGAACTATTGAACGAGATGTCGCTATCGTTTGATATGAACGGATTTATAATATTTTGTATACAATTTTCATTTAAAATTTACTCATAAAGAAATGCAAAGATAAATTTTATGAATACAACGAAATCTATAGATCTTATTTCGGAAATGCAATCAATATGATTATTATTTTAAATATGATGTTCTTGGATATCCTTGTCGGCATGTTTATATAAAGTGAATATTGATTAATCAATATTGATAATCGAAAAAGAAATATTCTTTATTACGACTTTTAAATAATATTCGGTATAATTTTCTGTATCACTAAAAATTTATTTGCTTCTTTCGTTTTTTTCTTAGGTAATTTTTATGCTTACAGTTTATTCAGAATTGTATCTCAATTATCATATGATGCTTTTCTTCACTACAATTCAAGTAAATTCTCAATCAATCGAAATCACTCGTTCTATTCATCATTATACTGGTGTGCTTCATCCTATGAATATTTTAAATAATCATACAAAAAATGTCATTTCTCATGTGAGCAAAGCTTTTAATATTGATTCATTGAATTTCTATATTTATTGATCATTACAATGAAGTATATTTATATGATTTTAAAATGTTTGACGGTGTTGGATTGATTATTTTGAATGATGTTATCAATCCAGATGCATCAGACGATTTAGAATGTGTTGGAAATAATTCAAATTATTGCAAGAATATTATTTCATAAAGGAAAAAAAATTGTACATAGAGATAATGTCCATAATGTAGTGAAGATTGTAAATCGGAAATATTAATTTTGATTAAGATTGCGATACGTTTTTTTTATATAATTATTTGTTATTTGGATAATAAAAATTTCCATGCTAATTTTAATTATAAATCTCTCCAATATTTTTGGCTGATTATTTTCTTTCACCTTCATTTTTAAAAATATACAGAACATATGAATTAGAATTTGTATAACTAGTCAAGTTCTTTTCATCATACAATACAAATTTATCAATCTTCACAAAATTAAAAAAAAATATTTTGAAGAATATTTGGTTTATTTCATTGAATTTATTGAATTATTACTCTTTTATAAATCATCGAAGCTTTTTTATTTAATCATTTTGGTTTTATGAATATGATATTTTCTCGAGATGTTTATTGAATTTATAAGCTTGAACTGTGTGACTTTAAATAAAAGATAGAATATTATTTTATCTCTTCTTTAGAATTTAATAAATATGTATTATTATTATAAAAGATTGAAAAAAAAACGTACAAAAGAAATCTTTGAAATAAATAAAATGAATTTCAAGTTGTATTAGTCGTTATCATATAACAATGAAAGAAATCAACTTTTAGTAATAAAAGATTAATTTAATTAAAGTCCAGAAAAAAAAAACTGTCATATTACCGTATACAATTCCAATAAAGATTTATGGCGTGCAAAAATAGAATAAGAAAAGGAGATAAAACTAGATTGCTACTTGAGCTTCATTCGAGTAAAAAAAAGGCGACTGATTGCACAAGCCCCTAACAATGTGAAAACCGGACTGTATACCATGTCTGCTATTTGTAAAGCATAGATCCGTGTAGAAGGAATTATTATGAATTTCAATCGCGTTCAACTGTCTTAGCTAAGCTGACTAGACAGAGATAATGAATCCGAGTCGGCTATTGCCATGTAAGGAAACTATCAACTGTCCATTATCGTTCTTCGCATTTTATCTATATATATAATTATAAACCATGTTTAGATTTTCTTCAGTACTTGAGACTCCTTCATGAATGAATATTTAAGTCACAGAAGATAACACTTAAAGTATACATGCACATAGCATTTACGATATCAATGGTCGTTTCAAGATTGAGTCATGCATGACCATATAAGGAAATTATCAGCTGTTATTTATTATTTTTCGCATTTTTAAAGCTCTTGAAGGAAGTGAAATTTTAAAAATCGAATTTCAGATTAGCTTTCATCACATTCTCTCGATCATGACAAACTTTTCCCAATTTGAAACGATGATTATTTACGTTGAACGATTGGTTGACATGGATCGTGACTCATGTATTGGGAAGAAGAAAAGACAATAAGTCGCACAGTGTAGTCAGCTGCCTTAAACAAAAAAACGACATACGGATTTGCAATATTATCAGGTAAAAAGGGAATAGTACGATAGATAAAGATAAATTGACATAGTAAATACTAGCACTTAAGCAAACTGACAACGCATACATTTTCAAACAAAAAACGACATCATATATTGATTAACATACAAATGAATATAACTGTAAATGCAGAAGATTTTCCGTCACCATTAATAAACAAAATGTTAGATTCACGTTTAGATTTAAAAAATTATGTTTTACAAAATGCTCGTCAAGGTGATATTCAAAATATAATTAATACAATTGATCATTATGGTTGGACTAAACATTGGTTAATGAATATTGGTGATCAAAAAGGAAAAATTCTTGATCAAGCTATTCAAACAAGAAAACCAAAAACTATTCTTGAACTAGGTATTATTTATCTTTGTCTTATATAAACGAAATAAAACTATCTATTGATATTTAATTATAGGTACTTTTCTTGGTTATAGTTCATTGAGAATTATTTCTCAATTACCAGATGATGCACTTTTCATTACAATTGAAGTTGATTCACAATCAGCTGAAATAGCTCATACTATTCTTGAATATGCTGGAGTAAATAATCGTGTAAAAATCATTAATGATTATACGAATAATGTTATTCCGCATTTAAGTGAAAATTTTAATATTGATTCATTCGATTTTATATTTCTCGATCATTTCAAAGAAGTGTATTTACGTGATTTTAAAATGCTTGAAGATGTTGGATTAATTAAATGTGGAACAGTGATTCTTGCAGATAATGTTATTAGACCAGGTACACCAGATTATTTAAATTATGTTCGAAATAATCCAAATTATACGTCAACATTTTATGAAGGAAAACTTGAATATCGAGAAGATTTAGATGACGGTATTGAAATATCAATTCGAAAATAAGAAATTTTGTATATCGAAATGTTATCTACAAATAAGACGAAAATTGAAAACTTCTAGATAAAATATTTGATTGTGGCGATTTTTGCATATTTAATTGCATTGAAAAAGAATAAATTAGAATCAAGATTAAGGGTGATACCTTAACTTTAAAAATTAAAGTACTACCTTAGT